GCTGTTTTCAGGCACGAGAGGAAATGATGTGAGCGGGAGAAGCCAGAGCAGAGGTGCTGGAGCAGGAGCCCTTGTTCTTGGAGACGGGATATTCGGGATACAAGCTCCAAGCTAAGCCAGGCTGGGATAAGCAGGAGAAGGAAGGAGGCACCTGGGTCTTCCCTGGAGCAACGATGCTGAAGGAGGTTGGGATGAGAACCAGCTCTGCCACAGCTCCCAACGGGACACACAGGGAAATTTGGCATTTGGCTGCATGGGTAGAAGAGGGAAAGCAGCTCCAGGGAGCGCCTCTTGGGCAGGGGGTCCTTCCCAAGGAATGTGCCCCATTCCCGAGGAATATCCCCATTCCCAAGGAATGTCCCCATGCAAGGGGACAGCAGGGAGCGAGGGGAACAGCTGTTTGAGCTTTAAATGACATTTAATTAGCGGCATTCAGGTGGTCACAGCAGCATTGAGGCAGCAGCAAGGCAGGCCTGCAGTCCTTGCCATTTGTTAATTAAAGCAATTCCTGACAGAGACTAACGACTTTTTAATGACTCTGTTGTCTCAACATCTTATTAAGGTTTGACTTCTCTCTTTCATCCCCTTTGATTCCCCCCCGCCTTGCGTTTTCCTTGGAGCGCTGGTGTCCGAAGGAAGGGATCTCCTGCCTGCCAAGGGGAGATCCAGCTGAGCCGAGGGAAAAGCCTGGGCTCCTGATCTCCCTCAGCAGGAAAACACCCCAATTAGGATGGAGACGAAGGCTGAGAGGGACCAGGGAATTTGCAGCCCTTGGCCAAGCCCTGCTACAGGTCATGCCATGCTCATTCCCATGAGGCATAATATCTTGGATAATAGCATATCAAGGCAGAATATCTTGGAAAAGAGGTGGAAAAACCAGAGGAAAGTCTGGGTAGAGCTGCGGGGCTGCTTGTGCCCGGCAATGCAGCTGTGGGGAGCCCATCTGCCTTCCTCGCTGGGAGCTGCTGGGAGCTGATGGAGAGATCCAGGCAGGAAAGCCTCGTGTGCCACCACTCCGAGCACAGCACTGAAGCCAAGGGAACCGATTAACCTGTCCCACCGAAAGCCAAGGATTTCACCCCAAAATGGGCAGCTCGGAGGCCCTGCACATGCTGCACTGACTCTCCCCGCTGTGGAACAGCCCCAGGAAAACCTTCCTTTTAGGAAAACAGATGCTTTTAGTTATGGGTGGCTTGGACACATGTGCTGCCCTGGGGATGAGGACAAGCGGAGACAAAGGTGGCCCCAGGACACTGGTGATCAGCGCTAGAGATCAGCCCCGGGCTCTCAAGCTCAAGCTGAGTATTTGCAGCACAGTCACGTCTCAACCATCTCTATTTTCCCAGCCCTTTGGGCCAAGAGGTAGGTAATAAAGATCCTAATTCTCCTTAATTTGCTGCACACACATGCAAGGGCATGGCCCGGCACAGGAGGAACCACTTCTAAACCACCCAACTTTTAAAAATAAAAGTACAAGCGCATCCCAGAGACACACGTCCCACACAGGCAGGTGCTTGCGTGCCCCATAAGGATGCACTCAGCTGCAAATCTGCCTCCAAACTCGAGTCCCATACATGCAGACACAGGAACATGCATGCACAGGGACACTTGTCACCAAGAGGCATGCGGGTGCCAAGCGTCACCCCTGGGACGCGGCTCAGTTCAATGCAGCAGCATTTTTTAGTTATGGCATGCCATACAAGCACCGCCAAAGTGCAGAAAAGAGGCTGAGCCCAGGTATCTGTCAGCAGCCCAGCAGGTTCAATCCATCAGGAATTAGCCCCGGGCAGCGCTCCGCACACGCTTGGCATTTAATCCTGCTTTGCAAGGCTCAAGGGCGGGCGCGCTCGGACACACGCACACAGTTAGACACTCCTGCTCCTGGATGGGGATGCTCTCACCTGTCAACGTGTCACACCAGGACAAGGTGCATCCGTGTCCCCGTGCTCCAGAAGGGCCTCGGGGTGACCGTGGTGACCGGCTCGCACGGTGATGGGCGGCGAGTGCTGCGCTGTCACACCTCGATCCATGTGTTTTCTAATTCAGCAGCGTTTTCCACTGGTGCTGCTACCCTCATTAAGGAGGAAATGTTCAGTGGAGGGGATTGAACGGAAGGAAAGAGTGCGTGAAGAGAGAAAACGCACAAAAGGCATTAAAAACTCAGATTTACTGCTGTTCTCCTGGTGCAATTCTGGAGAAGATACTGTCAGAACCAAGTATTTCACAGGTTTTCCAAAAAAACACATCCAAAATGTAAGAAGAGCAACTGAAGAATTTATCAGGTGTCACCCCATCTAAAAAGATTCCCAGATGTCCCAGGCAGGAGCCCAAGTGGATGCTTAGGGAGACCAACACTGTTGGGAAAGGTCCTTGGTGTTGACATCCTCAGGACTAGCAACACTCGATCCGTTTGAAGGAGAGCACAAACCTATAAAAATAGATTCTGTTTCTACATCTATATTTAAAACTCTGTTCTCCTTGGAATGGACTCAGGCTACAGCAATTAACTAATGATGAGGATGATTAAGGATTGCTCTTGCTCTTTACATTTATAGCATCTCTCCTACTTCTTTTCCGCATAATAATTCCTTTCCTCTGCAATACCAGCGGAGCATTCCCAGGAAACTGAGGAGCAAAAGGCAGCAAGGGAGGAAGGTGATCCACAAAACGGAGCAGAGGAGGACGAAACCTGGTGCTTAGCAGCCCCCAAGCATCAGCCCTGTCCAGGGTTTTCCTGTTTGGATTGAGCAGTTCCAGCAACAGAGCAAGCACGGAGGAATTTATGGTGACAAAATGTGGGATGCTGCTCATGGGGACACAGGCACAGCCTGTGCTGAGGGGCACAGGGCTGGCTCTGCTCCATACTGACATCCCCAGATCTCTCTTCCACTGCTGGCAGGAAGCCCTGACTTACTGTGCAACGATGCCCCGTGGAAAGGTTGGCAAGAAGGGGGGAATAAATTAAAGAAAATCAGCAGGATAAAAATAGATGTGAGAGAAACAGGAGGCAGGAATCTGGCTGGCTCGCAAGGGCGCGTTTCTGGAGGGAGCAGCCGCTGCCCAGAAGGTGACTGGAGACCCATCAAGTCACCGTCACATTAGAGCCTGCTGCTGTGCCGACCCCCTGTGCTCGGCATCGCTTTAGCCGTGAGAAACACAGCCTGTCTTCCTGAGATGGAAGAGAACCAGAGCATGAACAAAATCAACTGAAATAATTACAGGTTACAACAAATCAATTGGAACTGTGTAAATAGCCTTCGGGCAGGCATAAGACATGATGTTCTTCGCTTAACGCGCTCGCCCGCGGTCCCGGCTCCGGTCCACGCGCCGGCGATGGATGCTCCGTGATCCGCATGTGTCGTGGCGAGGGCTCCTTCCCGCTCTGAGCGGGAGGGCGGGCAGGTTCGTGCCATTAAAACCATGGCAAATTTATGACGAGGATGCACCGACGCGCTGCACCTCGCTCAGTGCATGCATGGAGAGCCAGCACGGCCGCCGGGGCATCCCGGTGCTGCGGGCAGACACGCTTGTCAGACACGCTTGTCCTTGCAAATTTTGCCGGTGGCTTTGAGAGGAGCACCACAAATTGCCCTGGAAAGCAAACCCCGAGGCCTCAGAGCTCCAGAGCTGGAGCGCCGGGTCCCCCTTTCCTCCCCGAGTTGCTGGGGGAGGCTGCAGAGGTTGACGCGTGCTCCTACATCACCCCGCTGAGCCAAAAAGGAGCCCTGGGCATCGTCTTTGTGCAGCAGCCGGCAGAGCCCAGGCGCTCGGAGAACACCCTATCACGCATCCCAAACCCTCCCACACTGGAGACTCTCTTTAGGTATTCAGGCAGCTAATTCTGAGAGACACACTGCTCGAAATGAGAGGGCAAAATCAGCGTAGTATTGAAAATTTTATGGCTTGCAAGCCTCATTACAAAACATTTTGAGGAAACAAGACAGGAGCAATTTTCTAGGATGTTTCCTCGGCATGCAGAGGCCCCAGGGATGGTCGGCACCGCGTGTCAGCTGCACCCTGCCCCGGGCTGCAGTTATCCCGTGCCTTGGGTGCCACGGCAGCCCCAGCTGGGCATGCCAGGAATGTGAACAGGAGCAGGAATGTGTGCCGCGTGCCCAGGCATCCTGCAGCTGCCTGGAAATGGATGTGACGGGGCTTCCAGCCAAACGTGTGGTGCTAGGGAGCCATCCAGGGCACATTTCTGCTGCAGGAGCTCAATGAAAGCTCACATTGAGCCTCTGCTGTCCTTCTTGGAGGGATTGCTATCTCCTGCAGCATCTCCACAGATTGCACTTCTAGATCAGGCTGGCAGATGTCCCCTAGATATATGCAGGGCCAAGCTAAACCCTCAGCAGCCTTTCAGGGCCCTATGCCACATGCTGCATCTCCTTAACCCAACACACACAGGAGTGAGGAGCATCTCAGCAGCAAGAAGAGCTGTCAATAAGCACTTCATGGGCTCACACATTCCTGTCTCTCCCATAATAATTTGGGAGCACTTGCGCTGTAACCCCAACCTGCATAGTGAGGACATGGGCCAACCAGGAAAGGGGCTCAGCTAACAAAGAGCTCCCATGGTGGAGAAAGGATGGACACTAGGAAGAGCCTTCCCAGCAGCAGGCCCTGGCCCTCACCACTGTTGTTGCAGCCACATCACCTACCTGCTTGCACTGCTGCTCAAGAGGCCCTATGTCCTATACACAGCCCATGACATCTCCTCATCTCCAGGTTCATACACAGACACTAGCTCCAGTATGGAGCCAGCTCTACAGTACCTACCAAGCTAGAAAGTTCTGGAGTCCTAATCAGAAAAGACACAAGAAACAGTCTACTCACCAAAACCACAAAACTCAACCCCAGGTGGGAGGGACTGGGGCTCTAAATAGCCTTCATGGCCCTGAGTGGCCCCACCTGGGGCCTCCACACCCATCCTGCCCATTGCCTCCTGGCACTATTTAAGCTTGGGCCAAGGCTCCTTGGCCAGGTGGTGGGGCTATGTAAGGAATAGGGCTGGTTCTGTGTGCTGGGGATCTTGGTGGTCTCTGTCCATGCCTTATGTTGTAGGCTTGGCCACTATGGATGTGTCTCACGCATCTGGGCTCTTTCTCCAGGGCTCCTGTGAGATTACATGTCTATGATCCTTGGTAGCAGGTATGTGACCACCAGTGGCTTCTTCCTGCTGATTGATTCCTTAGTGCCTGCTTAATGAGATGCTAATTTAATGTTGTGGTCAACTAGGAGATTATGAGGTTTAATGTGTTGCTATCCCACCAAGTGGTACTTGCTGTAAAGTGACTTTGCCAGAGACAAGTCCCTATCTGGGGGCTTTGCATGAGCATGGATGGAGCCTGTCCTGGTACCCAGATGTTCTCCCCCTTCCCAGCTCCTTGTTTCTGCATGTGGGAAGCCCAGCAAGATGTTCCAGTCCTATCATGGTCCATAAAGGTGAGATGTAGGAATTTCATAGCTTGTTATGCTGGAGCACAGGCTTGATAGCAGCAGGGCTTTCCTAGGACTCTGAAATTGGGGATTTGTTCAGTTAAAGCTAGAACTGAGAAAATACATTGCCAAAAATAATTTTCTGGACAAACCTTAGCTTGAAATTTGCTTGTAAGCTACTTACAAGCTTTCTAGGCCGATCTTCCCCTTAACATCAGTGGTGGAATTGCTTCTGCAGCAGCTTCACATACTGTGGCTAATGCACAAGCAGCAGACTGTACTTCAGCATAAACTGCTTGGATGAGCCTTGAATCAGCTAATTCACACTGTGGTTGTGTTGCCTGTTGGAGGATATTTGGATTTGGGCTGGAATGGTCACAATATGGCTTTCTGAGTGTGCTTTCTGGAAATATTCTGCAAATGATGCTTTGGATTTGGCTGTTCCTTCAAGCCCCTGTGCCAAGAAAATCATTAACAACCTATTAATGGAAAAGAACACCAAGTCTGAGTGTCCATCAAAGAACTTGCACAAGGAGGTACTTGGCAGCTGAGGGCTTTCATCAAAGTTAAAATATTGGAAAGAAAAGTCACTGAGCACCTGTGTAAAAGCTGTTGTGGAGAAACAAATGAAAAATAAACCAAAATTAAGTTAGAGGGTCTGCTTTTGTTTTGTGCTGCTGTTCCTTGCAGACCTGCAGTGATGCTCTGGGTGGACCCAGTTTTGATGAGGGAGTCATTCTTTCTTGAGTGTGGTGCTGGCTGTGGAAAAGCTTGTTTCCCAGTGAGGCATCTGTGGTCTTAGGACACATGGATGCAACCATAAGCCTTTGTTTTTGCCCGGTTCTCTCTTGTCTTGCAGCTTCTGCAGGAGACCAAGGACTGGATGTGCGGTGGTGATGCTCTTGCCTGCACCTGCAGTCAGGCAAGGAGTGGAAATTTCCTTTTCATGGGAGTTAAAGGTACTGTGCCCTTCTCCATGCGGAGGAGGGCGTGTATGTTTTTGAGGAGGAGCATTTCCAGCAGCTCCTACCAGCATGGATTGCATGGTGAATAGGCTGCTGTACCTGCCTGGATTTGGGGTGGCACAGCAGCACTGAGGGCTGAGATGGCTTAACCTGACAAATTCTCCTGGAAATAGGTGCTGATGTACACGTTTTAGTGTACAATGAGCAGATTGCCGTCCTGGTGGTTGCAACCAGGTGGTACCACGTGGGCAATCCATCAGTGCAGTTGGGTTTTGTTGCATTGCGTCTTCTCATGGGTACCTTCAGTTGCTTTAGCTCTGCAGTCATTTGGTTGGAGCTGACTGTGTGGGATGTCCTCAGCGGAAAGGGAAGGGGCTGTACAGTCAGTTCCAGCTTCAAAAATGGCAAAGGGAACAAAAAACCAACTCTGTAGCGCCTGGAGATGCGGGAGAACACTTGAGCAGCACTGCTTTCCTGGAGGAAATAATGGAGAGGGACACGCTGAGTGGGAGGCTCAAGGCTCACGGATGAAGCTGTACATAATAATCGATGCCCCCATTGCTTTGCAATGCAAGGTGTTGGCTCTGTTGTCTCTGAGTTCACCCTATATAAATATTTATGGCCTTAATGCCAAGGTTTGTCACATGTAATGACATGAAGCTAGCGTGATGTTGTCTATAGGTGACACGCCGCACCAAGGGGAACTGGCAAATGCCATGCCCGGCTCCTGGGGAAAGTGCATTAGCAATGCTTTCTGTGTAGCTAGAGCACTAGAAAACTTGGGGTGGAAGAGTTATTTTCTCCCTGCCGTGGTCCTCAAGGATAGGGGAGGGGAAGCTGAGATGATTCAGTGTTTCTGACAGGTCCGTGGTGGCTCAGTGTGCTGGTTTGGGGGTAGCAGAGGGAGTGAGAAGGTGGAGTGATCTGTTCCCATCTGAGCACTTAGAGGTACTTGCAGAGATGGTGCTGCTGAAGATGGAAATGGGCTCTCATGGGCTGAGATGTTGGCAGAGGATGGAAAGAGAGGGATCTTTCACCCAGCACCTCCCATGGCATTAGCAATTGGAAGCCTCAGCCTTCTGGTGACCTCTCTGGAAAGCACCCAGCTCCTGCTGACTCTCCAAAGGGGCTAAAACCCCGCAGTGTGCAGGTGGGTGGGCGGTGGAGGGTGGCACCTTGGCATGCCTCCTCTGTGCCCCGTGCTGCAGTGCAGCCCCCTCACACGCACCCTTTGCAACCCGCTAATAACACCGCCTGCGCCTGCTCCAAGCGCCTCCTCTCCTCTATTGTTCTGCAGGATTCAGCTGCTGGAGGCTTGGAAAGAGCCTCCCAGCCTCTCTGATAATATCTCGCATTGTTCTCCTCACCTGCTGCTCCTCTGAGTCATCCTGCTGCCTGGCAGGGCGGCCACAAAGGTCTCCCTATCAGATGCAGCTCAGCCAATATCTGGCTCCTGGGTTGGTTTTGCATCTCCTGTTCAGCTTTGGAGAAGTTCAGGGGCTGGGGGAAGGGAGAAGGACTAATAGGATTAATCCTCTGAATTCATTATGCAAAAGCCTGGCGCCCTGCCAATCTTTCTCTTGAACAAATGGCCAATGCTTTTCTTTAATAACATTAAGCAAAATTACAAATCACAACGTTGGTTAATCAATCTCAATAGGTTTCTCTGCATGACTTTTTTTTTAACTGTCTCCTGGAAAAGCCTGTAGCAGTTAATGTTTTCCTGCTCTCTTCCCTCTGTTTCTTAGCATGGGAAGTAATTGCTAGAGAGATGCTGGTGGTTTTTGTCTCTCCTGAACTCATGGCCTGGATGGACAGAGACCTGCATGTGAAGCAAGAAGACATTAATGACTCTAATGTGTTAATCTTATCAGCCAAGCTCATGCTAGCCAAGAGAACCTGGGTTTGGTTCAGCCTTGTTCAGGGCCCTGGATGCGGGAGAGGGTGAGAAGAGAACATCCTAGATGGAGCAGGGAGGAGACTCCAGGCTATATCCCCACCATAAGGCTCAGGGCTGTCTGGATGATCCTGGGCTATGGGGATGGAGACAGGGTCCCCAGGGATGTGGAGTCCACTGCTCCTGCCCTGCATAGGGTTCCCCTGCTAAAAATCCCTAGGGATTTAATGCAGACTGTTTAGGAGCCTGCAGAAGGGGTGCTGGCGAGGGGTGGTCCATGAGGGTCAACATCAGAGATCCAGCAGATCTGCTGGATTTGGATTTGTTTATATTTCCCCATGGCTTTTATAGGAACATATCTATGAGTATTAATAGGCAGTTGTGGCTTGCTTAGAGTGCATGGATCTATAGCAAAAACACTAACGCATGGCTATAGGTGCAGGGGTTGCATGTACAGCTATTGCACATGCCCCTGTGTCGGTGCAGAGCTGTTTGCTGCTGCCCTTGATGCCTTTGCCCACCTGCAGATGGGTGGTGTGCCCATCAGGGCACTTAACTTGCCATTTATCAGTCAGCTGGGCTGAGGACCAGGTGCTGCTGCATGCTCAGTTAGCAGCAAGTGCCTGGGTGGCCCAGGGCTTCATGGAGAGTGTTGTCCTGCTGTGACCTGCTGTGGGACACGTGTGAAGGTGGGTGCGCTCTGGTGGCAGCTGCAGGGATGGGAGCACCAGCCCAAGGCACCGGGAGAGGTCTGTGCTGCAGATCTGGGTGGAAAAGGCTGTGGGTGGGAACAGGGACAGAAATATCTCCCAAGCAGGAGTGAGGAGGCAGAAAAGCCCAAGAGGAGGCCCTGCTAACACAGCCCCCGAGGAAGCTTTGCAGGATGGGGGCGAGCTGGAATGAGGCTTGGGAAATCTGTCTTGCACCCGCTGTCCCGGAGGAAGCACTTTTGCAGTGAGCAGGCTTAGGGAATGCCCACTTACCGCCTCCTTCACATCCCCTTGAGCACAACCAAAACATGCCTCGCAAGTCCAAAGTACTAATTATGTTTAAGGTCACTTTGGCGTATTTAAGGTTTTTCTCTAGGAAAAACAGGCATGTTCACATTGATGTACATAAAAGAGGGAACTGAGCTGGGATGTGACTATTCAAAGGCCTGTTTAAGTTATGGGTGACACCTTTATAATGCACCAAGAGGAAATTATCCTGGTGGTATATGTTGTGCTAGAATGGAGAGGGCACGTCAACCCACTGGGGTTAGATACCTATTTTGGGATGAGACAACCAGCTCCATCTTTTTTCTCCACTGCCCCTATCCAAATCCCGGCAGAGAAGCTCCAACTTGGAGGGCTGGCTCCCATCTGGAAGAGAGGAACCCACCAGTGGGGCTGAAGAGGTCCTGGAGGGTGACTGAAGAACATGCAGTTGGTCTAGGATGGGGTTATTCAAGGCTGGCAGGTCCCAGAGCACAGCAGAGGTGCAAGGGCAGCGCTGACTGCAAAGCAACGGGCAGGAGGAGCAAATTCCATGAGAGGAGGAAGGGAGGAAGCTAGTGCTGAGCTTCCCTCGGTGCACCAGCCTCCTCCTCACCTAATCTAAAATTAACTTCCCTGCTCAGCTGCGTTTAAGCAAAACCAGTTGCCATGGCCACGCCAGGGGCTCCTAGATGTAGCAAACGAGGTAATCAGTTAAAACGAATCGCCGCGGAGCTGATGCTTGCTGTAGGTTACATGTGAAGTTCATTCACTTGTTAAACCTAATGGACTGTATTGCCTATGAATTGGAAATGTAAATTCTCTCTCTCTCAGTGGCCGGGGTTTGCATCGGGCTGGAAAAGCTGCAGGAAAATGTCAAATTAAAAGAGCTAGTGCTGTGGATAATGCGAGCCCATAACGGATCAGAGGGGATTTGTGTGTGGGTTCCAGCCTTAGGTTGGCTGGAAGGCACGTGGCTGAAAGCTGAGCCCCCCTTGTTGCCCCCGAGGGGACACGGGTATTTATAGCACCTCATTAATGCTTGCTTTGCTGGCGCTTATTAGCTCTGCTGTCCTGTTGGGAATAAAATAGGCGCTTTGGTCCTGCTAGAGGGTCAGGAGATGCTGGAAAAGAGCTCCGCTGCTGTGCATAGCCTTGAAGCCCTGGAGAATCCCAAGGCACAGAATGAGACACTGGCCAGGACTGGCACCTTTCAGCGCTCTGCCACCGTGCAGTGAAACCCGGTGCTGCCCAGGGCTCCGTGGGGCTCCGCATGGGATCCGAGAAGCCGCTCGGAAGCACCCGGAGTGCTGAGCGAGGGAAAAAGCTGCCAGCAAAGTAGGGGCACTTGCTATTTTAATAAGCTTGTTGCTGTGAGAGGGGAAAAACCAATCCTTAGGAATGGGTCACACCCATTTTGTGCCTTGCACAGTCTGGCAAGTGTCCCACTCCAGGCCGTGGATGCAGGGAGCGGAGCATCGTGTGCGTGGCCCCTGGGGCTCCCTGGGGACTCGTTTGGTGGAATCTCGGAGCATCCTGAGGTTCACACTTGCCTCAAATACATATGTTCATATTTCACAGGTTGTCACGGCCAGGATTCCTGCTGAGGAGGCTCCAAAGCTGCGGGAAGCAGAACAGCATTTCCTGGCTCCTGCTTTGCGTTCAAGTACGGAGGAGGGTGATTTATTCCCTGCCCTTCTCCCGCTTATCCCTTCCCACCTCCTGAAGATGAAGGACTTGTAGCACTGGAGAGAAGATGCTCCAAATACCAGGCAAGCTTTTAGGATGTCTGGGTTCAAGTCTGTTGCTTTGCCACACATTTTTTATGCACTAAATTCATGTTTTGCAGTGCCACCTTTAGCCTTAAAATTCACATGGCTGCATCCGCTGTCAGTATGTGACATTTCCCGTGTTAAAGTGTTGTACTTATTAACTTAATCTTTCTTGCTCATTTGGCTCCAACCAACCTGCAGAGCAAAATGGACATTAGTTAGTCTATGTAGGACCTGTAACAATTAGAAAATGTTACTGTCCTGCTAATCTGGGAATTTGGATGAGCATATATAATACATCATTAGGCTTCTTTATCATCTAGAATCATAATTGGAAAAGGTGCAGTAGTGGCTTGGTGCAGAGTGGCCATGTCTGTGTCCATATGGGTAATTACAGACCCATATGGACACTATGGACTGCTTTGTCACCCGACATAAATCAGAGCATCTCCCTTCTCTGCAACATACTCATACTGATTTACATCAAGCCCAAATCCAGCTCTAAATAAGCTTGTGACATTGAGTAATAGGCCTCATTGCAAAGCTAGGAGAAATTAGCTTTGCTGTGACATATGGCACAACCTTTGGGTCCTAATTGTGCTGGCTCATGCATTCATAATACCACCAATTATTTATATGATGAGGCAAGATAGTGGGTTTATCAGTAATCTTCCTTCTCTGACAGTTTATGATCAACCAAGTAGCACCCATTGGAATACTCCAGGCAATTAGGCGCTCTGATGTGCTCGGTGTCATCAGATTGCTGCATAATAAACAAAAAAGAGCAGTTTTTACGCCTTCAAAGAGGGCCCTGCCGGAGCGGCTGGGTCAAAAATACCTCCGATGTGTTGTGCCCATAATTGCGGGAGAGGTTGGGATTTGTCACCGTGGTGCCTTTGCCGGAGCCGTTCCCGCGCGGCGCATTAACCACACAAGCTGGAAGCTGCCCATTTGTCTTGCTCTCCGCAGCTCCGGGATGTGCCGCAGTGGATGGTGTCCGGGATCGGCGTTTTCCTGCTGTGGGAAGGAGCAAGTGGCTTGTGACATTCGCTCCCTGTTCCCTTGGCTGCTTTGCAGCCAGCCTGGGTGTTTTGGTGCTGCCGCGTGAAGGAAGGTGCCCTGTGGCCGTGGAACTGGTGGATGTGCCCCTAGGGCCCATGCCCAGCATGGGAAATCCAGTCATCCTCCCTTGTGAGCCTCATCTGCCCATCCAGGCCCGGAGCCTTGGGGCTCTCCAGGTGGCTCCAAGTTGGATAATTACCTTGGATGCAGCTGAGGGGCTCACCTAGGTGCCTCCTGAGGAGCTTATAGGGGTGTTATTTATAGACTCCCCTGTCTTCTGTAATTTGTGGAGAAAGCATTGCTGGCTGGCACGGTTTCTTCCCCTCAATCACATTCATCTGTCAGTGTAAATCCGCGTCTCCAAATCCCGGGAAGTTGCGGTGTTCCCATGCGCGGGTGTCCCCGCTCGTGTCCCCGCTGAGCGCGAGCAGACCAGGTCAGCGCTGTCTCGGTGTGCTCGGCAGCCCCGCTTATCCCCTCTGCTCCGGGTACTTTCTCCCACGAGGTGTCCGTGCGCTCCTGCCAGTGCTAATCAGCTGTTATCCGGCTGCGCTGCCATATTGATCGGATAACAGGGGCTGATAGGAACCGGCAAGGTGGGAATGAGCAGGGCGGGGCCTGGGAAGAGGTGGAATTCCGATGTGAGGACAGGGTCTGTCCTGTATAGACATGTCCTCGGATTCCTATGGGATCAGGTGCTTGGCAGTGTTGTGCTGCTCCAGGGCTGGGAGAGATGCTCAAGGATAAAACTGAGCCTGATTTTACCACCACATAGATAAGTCACTCCTGTTGTCTTTATTTTGATACTCACGTTTTCCTTGTCCTTCTCGTTCCAAGGACAGGGCTCTATCTCTTCCTGCATAATGCGACTGTCTTTCCACCTGGGTCTGGGAAGTGTAGGGAATCTCCAAGCCTGGCGGTAAATGACACTATGTCTTTGGTAGAACAAGCAGATCAGCTAAATAGCATGGGAGGAAAGGGCTTGGGGAAAGGGAGCTGTGTTACTCCCCACAGCAACTGGGCTGGCTGGAATAATCCCAAATTTGCTGCATTTTAACCCATTCATCTCAAGGAGCCAGTCATCCTTATGGTGCCCTAGCAAGGGGACAGGTACTGGGCAATTTCTCATGGCAATGTGCATTTACCTGGGAGCTAAAACATGCCGAAAATACCCTCTGAACCCCCAATCCTCTTGGAAAATTTCCCCTTGCGGAGTTTTCTTCCATAAGGGGAAATGAAGGCAGTAAAATGATAGCTGTACACAGCTGTATTGCTCATTGCTGCTTGGGCTTGTGCTTGGAGGCACGTGCAGGATAAAGTTCTCCTTGGTGGGGTTTAAATAACCCAGTGACACCGTGGGCTGTAAAATACAGGTGCTTTGCACGGGGGAGCTTAATGGTCAGCTTCTGTTCAGCGTGACACGCGAACAAGGAACTCCTTTGTGGTGGCAATTTATGTCTTTGAATTTTGAGGGAGATATAGAAAGGATAACTTTGGTATCCTCCTTTTTATATAAATCACTGGCATCCGGAATGACTAATAAAAGGAAGGGGGAAAAGTTGTGTTTCTGCCTGACTTTTCCTGGGGACCTGGGGAAGTTCAACGGGGCTTTTCCAAGAAGCCCCACGTAGAGCTGGGGCTATGTTTGATATGGGTTTCATTCTAGCTGGGGTGACCGGGTGCCTGTGAGCATTGCACCCTCCTCTTCCTCGCTCCCACCGAGAGCCCTGGGGGGGCCGGTGCCTCCTTTGAGGAGCTGCAGCTTGGTCCTCTCCCACACAAGCTTTCTGAGAACACTAATTAATGCTTGTGAGGCACTTGGGAGATGGATGAAACTTTCAGCACTTGTATTTATATTTATTTGATTAGGGCTGTGTCCAAACCGAGTTTTCCATCAACGGAGCTGGCAGCTCCTGTTGCTTTGCGAGGACAACCGCTTGCAAAGCACCCATCCTTTGCTGTGCTGACAACTGCTAGGGAAAAAAGGGAGTATTTAATAGTTTTGCTCTTCCAAGGCACATCTTGCAGTTGGAGACCTGGCCCCAGCAGTTCAGGTGGGTATTTTGGTCAGCCCTGGGGTGCTGAGCTCAGTTTGAGGGGCCCGTTTCACCTGTGCAGGCTCCAAGCAGCACAGGCTGCTGCAGTTGTTGCTCAGGTGGAAGGGCAACCCAGAGCAGGCACCTGGCTGAGAGTGCTGCAGCAGCCTGCAAAATCAGCTGGAATGCAGCATATGGGTTAGTTCCCAGGTTTGATTAATAAGGGGCTTGTTGGCTGCTTAATTTTCTTTTGCACATCACCTGCAAAACCCTCATCAGGCTGCAGACACAGTTTGGTTGCTCTGCCTCGTGGTCAGTTCCTGCAGGTTTGCACATACTGGCCACGTGTTCCCAGCAGCTCTGGCTTTTCTTTGCATCCTCCTCAATCGTGCACAGACTGTGAGTATTTGCTCTTCAGGCTCAGCTTTGTTGTGTTTTATATATATATATATATATACACACACACCCCTACTGACTGTACTGTTTTGCATTTATTTTCTTCCTGTGAAAACTCGCTGCAAAGCTCAAAGCCATGGGCTGGGCAATTGGGAATGAGGCCCGAGCTGCATCCTGGGGCTCCCGGCGGGAACGTGAATCCATCGGCAGCGTTCGGAAGCGGAGCAGCAGGAGCCAGGCTGGCTGCTGGAGGGCTCCTCCGCTGTCATCGCAGCCCCCCAGCTAATCAATAGGGCTGGGGATTGAGAGGAATGTTAATTAAGGGCAAGATTTACTGAAAGGGGGAGCAGGGGGGATGCTGCTGCTGTTCTTTTTCTGCCCGGGGTAGATGTTAACATATCAGCATCAGGCTCAGTGAAGTGGGGCTGGCAACAGGCAGCATTAAACCTTAACTGCACCCATGAAGGGTGCAATAATCAGGGATAACTCTCCATAGGTCCTATGGTTTCCTATTCCCCACTGAGGGTTCTTGCTGGTATCTCTGGGTTTAGCATCCAGCGAGTGGGAACCTGCTCCTCGGCATTGCTCTGCAAAGCCCTGGGAGCCGACACCGTGGGAGATGGTGCAGCCCAGGGAGCAACTGCTGGATCCAGCTACAAACCTGTCTGGGAAATGGGCATCCCTGTATCAGGTGCAAATCCTATATTGATTTCAGCTAATAATCCCTGGCAGAAGGGCTGTTGGACATCCCAAATTCCCAAGGCACAGGGAGACGGGGTTTTTCCTTCATGTGCATTTCCTTCAAGAAATGGGAAGCTGGAGAAGGCAGCAACCAACACCTGAAAAACGGAGCATTTCAGCTGAAAATCCAGACTTATTTTGCTGGGTCTTTTCTTCCTGATGAAAAGCAGGGTTCTGTCCCAAGGAAGGCAGGCAAATTTTCAGAGTTGAGCTGGGAAATTTTAGATGAATCTTAGGGAGATTCCCCAGGGAGGAGGTTTAATGGATGGCTAGAGGTGTCTTGTGGAGCCAGTGCATGAACTGATCGTCTCCGGATCCCAAACTAGGATCTCTGGCCAAAAGCTTTCAAGATCATCGGACAGCGGGAGAGTGGCAGCGAGGGGAGGAAGCAAGGAACAAACCCAGAGCATCAGCAGCCGCTCGCTTTGTTCCCGCAGCCGCTGACACGGGGCTGTCAGGGACCGTCAGTGTAATTATAGAAAATTGCTACGGGACAAACATCCCTGCATTTGGACGAGAAATTGCGCGGCAGCCTCGGGTTCCTTTCTGCATGTCAGGTAGGCACCAATTTTAGCTCCTCAGGCTTGACGGGCTCAGGTGCTCGGGATGAGCATCCCCTGTCCCTCTTGCTCCGTTATTTCTGCAGTGACAGCGAGTGAGTGGGGCTCTCAGCAGGCTCCCTTGC